TGGCTCCTGTCTTAAGCAGGGACAGCCCTTGGCCTTGGGTCACATTCAAAGACTCTCTCCTCAAGAGCCCAGTTAGCTTCTCACAGCAAAAGAGCCCTCTGTACCACATACTAGTTTAGTTATCTGGGGTGAGGATGAGGAGCATCAGGTGTCATCATCTAGGAGAGCATTTCCAACAGGGCCTGTGGATGCTGTGGTTGAGCACCAGGCCCCATCAGGTGACATCCTACCCTTTTTAGGGTAGGGCAGACGTGCCTACATGGGGACATCAAGGCCACTTGAAGGAGAACAGGTAGGAAGAAACAGGAGTGGGGAGAAATGGCTCTTAGACACTAGCATCTTTTTTTTTTTTTTAATCCCTATTAATGTAAGCCAGAGGCCTAACTCCAGGAATTCCAACATGTCAGGCCCAGCCACTTGCCCCCAGGAAGGCAAATAAAGAGAGGAAGGGCAGAGAAAGGAGATTTATTACATGGCACAGAATGAGGTGAAGTAAACAACTTGTGCCATCTTTAAGGTATAGACATGAGCTTTAGGTTCAAATAGAGGAACAGTTGGGGCAGGGGTGAGAAGTCCTTGTAATTATTAAGTAATCCCTGCCACAGGTGTGGTCCGTCCAGTTGGTCATCATCTCAAGATGGTCAGGTGGTGCCTGGTCACAGTAAGAAAGACCTTGCTGTCTGCAGAGGCATTTTCCATTCTTTTCATAAGATGTTGTTGATTAGTCTTACCCTCCCTGAATTCCAAGTTGGCTGTAGAGACAGCATCTCCAGAGCAGGCGAGGCAGGGATGCCAAGCTTTTATGCAACTTTCAATTACCCTTTGGACATGGGTGGGCCCAGGTGAGGAGTCAGTGCTTTAAGCATCTGCTACATTAGGATGTGAGGAAGAACCTCTGAGCCACATTTGTCCATTGCAGCAATCTATAACTATATATTTTTTCTTGCTGAGTGATCTGATCATGAACCCAGTTTTGACCCTCATTAGACATGGGCTAGGAAAACACTAGGGACATCTCGCAAGTATGTCTTTAAGATATTCAGAGAGGATAGTGGGGCAGAAATGGGGAAGGCCATTTGCCAATGCTCTGCATAAATTAACAACTCAGCACATTTGGGAAAATACATTCTGGATATGTCTTTGAATGTCTTCCCTACACAAAAGTTTGAATAAAATCACATCTTGATTCTCAATGTCCAGCTCTCTAAGCAAAGGACAATTACATGGATATAATGTGTCTTTTCCTGTGTAAATGTGAATTGGCATTCGACTATTGTGCTTGATCTTTCTTCAAGGTTATCCCATTGACAGAAAATTCTATCTTCATACTAAGCTTAGTGATGTTGAATTGAATGTTTTTTAAGGAACTATTATCAGTTCAGTTATTTTTTTTTCCAGATGAAAATGTTCTAAACCAATTAGAGTGATATTTTCTTTTTCATTAAAATCAACAATGTACTTGTTAATATTTATCAGGCTGGCTTTTATGGCTACCTTTTATTTATGCCATGTAATATAGATTCTCCATCTGAAGGAGTTCTAGAAAGGTTGCCTTTTGAACAACACTTTTAGAGTAAGTAAGTTTTTTTTGAAATGGAGAAATTAAAAAATGAGTACAGGTGATAAGTGTTTTTGGGAAACTTAGGATGATGGTAAATGAGTGGCAAGTTTGAAAATCGTCTCTCTTGAGCCTCTGTAGAAGAGGAAGACACCAGTCACCTGGATCCAAGAATTGGACTGATAAAAAATAGGCAGATGTTAAGACCTTCTGCAGTAGGTTTTGAAGGAATTAAAATACTGGGGGGAAGATAAGGCAGACAAAACATGAGACCATTATGCACATTTGCATGTTTTGTAAGATAAAACCATGTAACACACAAATAAGTGGCCTATTCTATATAACATTTAGCAATAACAGGTTCAGTGTTCTGACTCTTATACATCGTTCCTCGTATGCAAAACACTGCTGTGGGGTCATCTCTCCCTATTGCTAGCACGTAGAACCTGCGCCAAGAGCATTTCCTTTCATTCTTTTTCCATCCTGATGGACTTGGAGTTGCAGCTCCAGACACTGGTGCTATTGCCCAGGAAATGCTATCATCCCAGAGAGAAGTAGTAATTGGAGAATAAAGGCTTAAATATGCAACAAATCTTTAAGTATCCTTTGTTGAAAAGAGGGGCTTAGTGGGAATTTATTGCCCCCCATCCCCAGTCCTTAAATTCCTCATCTAAAATTCCCAGCTCTGCCCGTAATTCATCATTGTTTAAATCATTTATTGCCAAAGTCTATTCACATGTATCTCAGGGGCCGGGAGAGTTCTCAGGCCTATATATACTTCTTTCTCTCTCTCCCAGGGTAAACCAGCTCGGTGACATGAGAACCCAAGGGAAACTGAGTTTGAGTCCTGACCTTCACAAAATGACCATTTGCTCTTGGGCTAAGTATGTAATATTTCTGAATCCCGGAGTACTCCCCTGCAAACAGGGGCCTGTTGTAATGGTATCATATAAAGTAAACATTTTGCATGTTATCATATAAGTGCTTTATATGATGGCAAAGTGCCTGATACCCATTAAATCCTGATGGAGTTGCTTCTAATAATATTGTATTAACAAAAGATTCCTTTTCCAGACGTGTTCAATTTTTACTTTCTTAATCATAATTTGTTTTTTGTACAGCATTAATTTATATGAAAATTATTTAAACATATTTTGTGTGTGTTTGTAATCACAGATGCAGGGAAAATAGTGTATATCCACATCAATTGGATTTACTTTGCTCTGATAAATCATCAACCCATGAAGAAGAGAAATCCAGATCTGGAAACCTGAGAGCAATTGCTGTTTAGTTTTGTTTCTTCTCTCCTCTGTTCTCTCTTAATCCCATTCCTCCCTCTCTCTCTCTCTGTTTTTGCAAAAATATTTTAATAGAATACATTTCAAGTAGAAAAAAATCTATGGTAGCTTTAAATGTTTATATGCCCCAGGGGCTCACGCCTGTAATCCTAGCTACCTGGGAGGCAGAGATCCCAGGAGGATGGAGGTTTGAGACCAATAGTTCGAGACCACCTATCTCAAAAATACCCAACACAAAAAAGGGCTGGTGGAGTGGTTCAAGTGGTAGCAAGGCCCTGAGTTCAAACCTCACTACCACCAAAAAATGTTTATATGCCTGGTACAAGACAACAAAATAATTCAGTATTGCAAGTTGTTAAAAGATTTGTTAAAGTTGTGTCATAGATTTTCTTCCAGTATATTTTGGATTTCTCACACATTCATTATTGGATATCTATCTTTCTCTTCCTTTCAATGACATTTCTGAGGTTCTTGATCAACATTTATACAGTTAAATTACCTTGGAAATGACTGCAAGATTCAAAGATACAGAAACAAATTTCAAAGATACAGAAACAGAATACTTTATTATAAAACTTATAAAATTAAATATTACACATATATTTTGACTTTTCTCTATAATCCATGGTTTTATTCAACATTTTCCTCAGAATTAATATCACTTACTCAGGAGCAAGTGAGAATACATAAGAATAGGCTATTAATAAATTAATTTTTCCATAAAATGATAATTATATAAAGACACAAGTAACTTACCGTTTTTCAGAGGGCAAGTGTGGTGGTGGTATGGGACCATTTTTTTTTTCCCTCTCATGACTAAATGGCCACTAAAGGCCAAGCAGGTTCAGAGAAACTCTTCATCATTGTTTCTTATGGGATTCAAGAACTCATGATTTCAATTAGAATGGGAACAAAGGATGGGCTAAATTTAACAAACCACTGTCTAGTTAGTTCTGTTGAGCTGGCTAATCCCCACTTGAATTGAGACTTTTTGAAGCAGTAAAATTGAGTTACATTCATCAAAGAGCTTGGGGGGATCGAGTAGCATTATATAAATATGACCTTTATAACCACTTCTCAAAAAATTATAGGAGGACACAGTCTTGGAAGTTCCTTTGGTTTTTGGCAAAATAGTGTGGTGTTTTTCCAATTGAGAACAATTTTAAGCTTGTTAATGTCTATCAACAGCTGGCTTCTGGTGACTGAAAAAGACTTATTCATTGAAAGGGCTTGGCAAAGTGTGATTTATTAATATTAATGTTGCAAGAAGACATATGGACTTTTCTTTTGCCACTATCTTTTTTTTCCCCCCCTGTTAACTAATTCCTAGGGCAAATTTAAACTTGTCAGTTGGTAGGAAAAAGCCACGAATTTTCCAAGCATTCTGATAATGTATATGGAGCAATCTAAATGACGGGCTTCCCCTCCTTCAAACACCTTTGCCATTTAGCACTTCTGAGATTTTTACCATAAATGAACATTTTACCAATTTTCATTTCCAAAGTCCAGGCTCCCACATCCTTGTTCTGCAAGCACCAAAGGTTATGAGGTTGATATTACATGAAGAGCATCAATGACGAGTTGTGTCCAAGCACGAACGTCTCTCAACCAGTCTGTGTTGTCCTGGTTTCAGAGTATTTCCTGCAACACTTTTCAAGTTGTTAATTTTAGTCTTGAAGACTTTCAATATGCAGAATATACTTTAAATAACACATACTAAATAAACATAACGTGAAGCCTGCCAGTCCAGCAGCAAGCACCATTTTGAGCACCATGTGGTTTCTGATATAACTCCTGGTTTGGGTGTTTACAGTTTTGGTCAAATTATGAATGCCAAGCAAGGTATTCCATCCATGTTTGATGGCTCCAAGTCTGCAAGGACCTTTGGAAAACAGATGTTTTTGCCACTGAATCCTTTGAACCAGTTCCAAAGTAGACACGGTCTTACTTTGTCAAATTAGAACTTGACATTTCTCAGTGTTATGCATCACTTTCATATTACAGTGCAAATCAGAGTTTTTTGTTTTTTATTTTGTAAGTCAGATTTGTCATCACTTCCCATTGTCAAATGCTTTGGAGTACCATGTGCTTCAGAGGATGAAATTGGGAACCTGGTGGCCACCTATCTCTTCCTCAAAGTTTGAAAAGGTGGCTGGTCTCCCTAGAGATTGAAAGGTCAGCCCCTTGTCCTAAGCAGGGGAGGAGGCTGTCAAGGTCAGCTCTTCCTTGTACATGACTTGCAGCACTGTTTACCATAAAATTTGTGATTGCAGACACCATGCTGAGGAACCAGGTGACACCAGCTGAAGAAATCTACACAGGATGGATCCTCTAAAATGACAAAATGCATTTAGCATGTTAGCTTGGGCACTCAGCCTTTTTAAGATGAAGATCTATAGAACACAGACCATGGGCCACCTACCTTGTGCCTCTGTGTGGTGCTGCCTAGTCTATATGAGGATATTGCCAGTGGCAGGACTAAAATACCAACAGGGATTGTGATCATTAAAATTTAAATAGGAGGGGAAAAACAGATGTTAGAAAATTAATCACACCTAGTAAGAGATCAATGCCTAATCACCCACACACAACCTGGGAGCTGCCACTGACTTGAGTGTATAAGGAAATGTGCCTGGAATGGGACAGAAGGAATCCTTTGGGGAGCCTGTAAAACACTGGTTCTGATGGAGCTGGAGCCTCCACCCTAGACCAAGGAACCTAATCTATTGAGAAGTCAGGACACCTGGATTTGAGGCCCTGTTTCAATATTCTGTATAGGTTTAAATAAATCTCCTCACCAGTTTGCAAAGAGGTCAATACCTGTCCTTTTGAATTTCTTTAGCTGCTCAAGTAAGATTACATAAGTGATTATCCATTGGAAGCAGGACATTGTCTGACTGGGAGTCTCAGAAGAGGCATGAGAAATCATAGATAATATTTTCTTTCCGTAACCATAAATGCATGATTTTGGAGTTAGGGTTCAGTAACTTAAGGTGGATCAGGATTTACTATCAGTGAGTAAAATATTATTCACAGAATTCTTTTTGTCCCCTATTCATGGCTTTGACTTAACAACCCAACCCTTCCTCTAAAGCTACATAATCAAGTTCTCCTTCACCCTTTCATTACTCTCCACTGTGCCTTTGGACATGACATAGAAAACTCTCAGCGCTCCTGTTGCTATCTCTTACAGTTCCTTCAAGCCTTGATTCTTCCACTTAAAATTCCCTTTTATACAGCTTCTCCAGTCTCACAGTTGTCTCAGTGATCAAAGGACCACAAGCCAATTCACGTCATGTCCTTTCCCCACACCACTGGAGTCAAATGATGCTGGAGGATAGGCTCTTTCTCCTCTCACCACTCTTGTCCCTAATCTAGCCATAGTGGCCCCTTGCTGATCCCTAATGTACCAACCTGCTCTAACTTCAGCCTTTCCAATTTTCTACTAGACAGTGGATGGTTTCCTCTTTGCTTCCTTCAACTGTTTTATAAAACCAGCACTCTCTCAGGAGGTATTCCTCATTCCATGTCCTTTAATTGTTCTGTATTGGACTCATTGGTTACTTGTTTACTGTCTGTCCTCTAGAATGCAGAATCCTTGAGTGCTAAGACTTCATTTACTATTTTCATTGCTTTATTGCCAACACTTAAAGCAGTGCCTCTCACAAAGTAATTGTAGTAAATAAAACTAATTTCTCTATCACGCCTAAAATAACCAATCCAGAACATAAAAAGTCTCATTTTAAGTACAAGATAAAGTGGTATTCTCTTATTTCCATTAACTCTTGGATATATTTGGAAGATAGAGTGTTAAAAGATGTGAGAGGGAAAAAGTGACCATAGTCACTGAGTACCTGGAAGAACGGACTCATTTTCCCTGTAGGGATAGAGTACTAGGAGATTAGTTTGAAAAATATTAGGTTAGAGATAGAAGATGAAGATCTGGCTAAACTCTGTTTACCTATCTATAAGTTCAGTTATTTTTATTGTATATTTGTACAGATTCTGACACCCTAACTAGCTCATATCTCAATCAGAACATGTCTGGACCAGTCTGAATAGAGCTTATCTGTTGATGAAATGGAAATACATTAGGATAAACACTCATCACTGAAACTATGGTCCTAACCACACTTGCCCATCTTAAGAATGGAATTTTAACAGGCAGCTGGGGCTACATGTTTCATGTAAGCCAGGAAGCAGAAATGAGGTGTATCAGTGTAAGTACTCTGATTATAAGAATGATGACTAGTAGCTGGTTCTTTGAGCTCCTATGAAGCAGGAATTTAACTTACACTATTTGGATGACCTTGGATCCCTGTTCTTTGCCTTACCTGCTGCATGCAAGCAACAGGTGGCACTAGGTCCATCTCAAATCACATCTACTTCCAACCTGAATTCTTGTAATGTGATGGCCAGTGATCTTACCACAAGCCGAATCCAACTATTCCTCTGCTCAAAGTCTGCCATGGCCTCGAAGTCTTTATAATGATAAGGCCACCACTAACACTTATGCCTCTCCACTTGTCACCTTGTTAATCATAATCCAAACACTGTTTGCTCCTTAGATTTACCTATTCCTGCCTCAGGGCCTTCTCATTGCCATGAGGACTCTCCTACTGGATCCATGGCTCATTTTCTTGACTTCCTTGGGACTCTGTAAGTGGTTCTGTCTGACCTCTAGCTGTCTAGCCTGGTTTCTCCACCTCCCCCGCTATACCCTAGTTCACCATCTGAGGTTATACGTTTATGGACAGGTTTGTTGTGTGTTTCCCTCAAAAAAAAAAAAAAAGGTTGTCATAAAAGTGGTAACTTTGTTCATAATAAGCCCAAGGCAAGCTTGCCCAAAGCTGCATTATAGTCAGTGTCCTATTTTGTGATTTCAGAGTCTTTGCTCTTTCCACTATGCAATGCTGCCCATGCACCATCTGAAGACATGGAATTTCATGAAGAAGAGCTTTTTAGTATCACCCCGAGAGCGTGCTCACCCCCAACTTAATCTCACTACTCCTTAGCCAGTCATCTTGCAGAGGATGTGAACAACCATCTCCAATTCACCGTGACTGACAAGACCCAGTGGTTTCATATAAAATATTACTATGCAAAGTCATGAGGATGGTCCCCCAACATGGAGATCTAATCAAGACAGCCAGGTAAGGCATCCCACAGTGGTCATCATATAAAATGAAGGCTCCTCGCTGGCCAACAGCATGGGAGGGAGCTTGGAGGGATGAGATAAAGCCAAACTGGGCAGGACAGTCTTAACTAGGGTCCCTTTTGAGAAAGGCTAGAAACTTCCATCTGACTATAAGCTCCTTGAGGGAGCTATTCCTCTGAAACCCTCAAAGTACCTAGTAGAATGCCTTACCCACAGTGTGGGGGTAGGGTTCTCAGAGAATTGTCCCTGTATCGCTATGGGCGTGCTTACTCTTTGCTAATGCCTCACTGTCAGAAAATACATCCCAACAACTCTCAGAGGGTCACACGCTACTAAGCATGACACTCTCCTCTATGTGGGACAGGAGAAAATCCTGAACTCAGTAAACTATAGGCCACATTTTTGGCTAACAAAGATATTTTCCTTCCCAAAAGAGACCTGACTTCAAGAGGCATAAAGAGAAGTCCTTTATCGATCTTTATGCATACTCTTCCCATTTGCTTCACTTCCTGCACCACAGGCAGAACTGACCATCATGGCTAACAGGCCACCACTTCTATTTGTTGTGTCCTTTTCAAGGCACTCAGTCCTTTATGACAAAAGAAGAGGGCCCTGTTTTGCTGCACTCTTTTATCCCTAAAAAAGAGGGCTGGGAATACACACTGGTGCTTAGTGATTTTGCTTTGAATGAAGTAAAGGGCTTCTTTGCACTGTCCTCATTAGCTTTCATTTACTGTGTTCTGTGCCCCTGCTGTAAGCCAGGTGAAGTAGTAGATTCTGGATCAGCAAGAAATAACAAGAACAGGGGCCTATCTTCTCGGAGCTTATGTGCGTGTTTATTCTCCTGCCTCAGAGATGTTTTTGGAATTGACCACTGTTGCCACACTGTCCTTGGCATTTCCTAGAAGCGCCAAGGGGCTGAATGTGCTCCACACTGACCTTCGTACATGTGTTGGTTGCTGGTGGTCTGACAGCAGGGCAGACAGGAGGAAAGGCTCTGGGAGGATGTTACATGTAAAATTCCACTACTGACTACAGATGATCTGGCTGTTAGCAACTGCTACATGACTAAGTTTCTTGGCTTTGCAAGCCTCAGATTGCGTGGATGTAGAGATGGGGAGTGGTGACAACGGGACAACAAGTAAGTAACAGTCCTGAATATGATTCACCACAAGCTGAAAAAAGTAGGGTAAGAGATTGGACAGTCTTGGACATGCTGTCATTGATTTTAAAAAAAAAGAAAACCTAATCATTGTGTACTGGAAAGTGATTCTTTAGCACAAGGAAATCTGATCGGGGTGAAAAATACTTTCTGATATTTGTCAGATTACTTTAAAATGAGTTGGACTTGTAAAGCATGGTATAGTTCACTCTTATAATTAAACTCCCCTTCACCACCCAGTACATTTCACTTGAAGTTGCTGTAAGAAAACAAGTAAGGTATAGGACTAGGACAATACACATTCATGGTAATTTACTGTAATTTCTGTCTCCTCAAAGAAGTTCTTATTTACTCTTGGACTCCTGCTGCTTAGCATAATCTCTGGCACATGGTGCTTATGTTTTCATGTTTAACAAATATTTAATTTTAAAAGACAGGGATTGTAAGAAGACCCTTGATCACTTTCAAAGTCAGAATTAATGGCTAAAGAGGCTTAGGGCATTAACTGTTCCCTTCAGCCCTTGCAAACAAAATCAGTTTGACAGTAACTGCCCCAGAGGTTCATTGTATACCAGCCAAGGGAGTACCAGTCACATGGACTCTGACGTGAACAGCATGCCCTAGAACTGTGTGATATACAAGGAGCACAATCAAGTATAGAGAGCTCCTGAAAAATAAGTGGAGCCTGGGGTCCTTTACCTCTCTTTTCAGGAGCTGGACAAAAGTTTGTGTTACAGGCTCGGAGTACTGGAGGCTTCTGATGGAGCAGACAACTGGAGGAAGGCCGGCCTTGCTGGACACAATGGACGGATCGTGTCTGGACCCCTCCCCCACAGGTGACTGTGCACTGCAGAGGAAAGAAAGTCAGAAACACTCAGTTGGCTGGTGTCCTTGCTGAGGTTGGTGACATCAAAAAGAAGGAATCTTCATGTTCATGACATTCTCAAGGTGCCTGCTCTGAAACAGATTGTCTAGAGTCTAGCATAGGCACACACATTCATTCTTAATATATGACCTGTTTAGAAAGGTCTTAGGTAAATGTTGTCTAGCCCAAGAATGTGTGCCTTCCACTTGAGTCACAAAGAAGAAAGGTTTCATAAGTAAAGAAATGAATGGAACCCAGTATTTAATTGCTGTAGTGATGTATAGTAGGTAAGGACAGTTCAAAATGAAGCTGGAAAAAGAAATGATAAACCATGCCACTCTGGTACCTAGCCAAACACTGAGCTAGAACAGAGGGTTTGGTGCTTTCTAAAAGTCAGTGATCTCACTGTCCAATTAAAAAATGAGTAAAAAAAAGGCACTTATGTTTTCCAGTTAGACATAAGAAAAGTTGATGTAAAGCTATTTTGGAAGAATAAGGAAATGTTATCAGGGAAAAGAACAGCTCTTTAAATGGATCAGTGTTGTTTTGAATTTTTAATTTTTTTCCTTAGTCTACGGTAGACAGAAGAAGGCTTCATTTTGGAGTATATGGCCTGGCATTTTAGAGGACAAAGTAAATTGGGGTGACACACATTTGTGCTCATATATCCCCCCACCTACCCTCAGGTGTAATGGTAAAGGGAGCAGCTCCCCTCCACCACAGTGAGTCTTTTGAGGAGCCATGCAACATCTGTGGTACGAATATCCCAGTGTTCTCTCAGGATAAGCTTCACCTGCCTGTCTTAACCCTTAAAAACCAGACTAATGTGACCAAAGTTTCACCCAAGTTTTCTTAGAAAAAGGGTGCCTCAAATAAGTTTAAAAGTCAGGTAGACTTGGCTCAATTACCAACTACTCTGTACATATCTGTCTCACCCACAAAATAGGGACAATAATGCTAAGTAAGAGAGTTGTCCGAAGGATGAAATTAGAGAGTAGATAATTTATGCAAAGCAAGAGTACACAGAAATAGTTTGGCAAATGTTAGCTATGATTATAGTATTCAGAAACATGATCTATGAGCCAAACGAATAGAGATTGGAAGCAGAATGTTACAGGCCTGGTACTAGAGGTTTTACATTCATTACTTCATTTACTCATAACTCATACAAAGAGAAAAAGCAGCTCTACCAGATGTTATTATTGCATACTTCTAGATGTGAAAACTAAGATTTAAAGAACCTGCACAGAATCACACTAAAAAACACAAGTTATTCTTGGTTTTTTTATATTTGGATCACTGCCTGTGAACTAATAGCAATGGTTGATAAGCTGCCTCCCCCGCCCCTTTTTTTTTATTTCACTTGAACATCAGCCTCCTAATCTGTGGGGTACCCACCTGTTGCCATGGTGATGAATACCATCCAGCTGCCATGTTGGACACTGGACAAGCCCTTAGGTTGCAAGTTTCTTCCAAGTTCAGGTTTGGTTTCTTAATATTGCGGCATCTTCGTTCTGGGAAAGTTACCAGTTTTCCCTGCAAGGTCTTCTCACTGCATTTCATGCCTCTCTTCCTCACACCCAAACCACAGGTTGTAGAACACTGGAGCCAAGAAAGGAGGTGTAAGAGTGCAGAGGTCCTCAGTCAATTCTGAGTGGATGTGCTTCACCTAATTTCAAGCACACATCCTTAAGGACATAAGAGTCCAGTCTCTCATGCTACAGGTAAGGGAACCAAAGGCCAGAAAGACTTTCCCAAGGTCAAAGAGCTCACTAGAAACATGGCAGGCTGCAGTTCAAGTGGCTGTGAGACAGACTCCAAGAGAGCAACAGGATCAACATAATGATGAGAGCAGGAACTCTCATCGTCCAGGTCTACCTGAGGTCTTCCTTAGCAGGTAGGATTTTCAGGCAAGGGAAGGTAAGGGTTAAGAGACAGCAGAAGTGAAAGAACCATTCTAAATTTTCATCTTCTTAATTAATTTCCTTTCTATTCTATCTCTCCCTTGGCTGAGACATAACCTCATGCTGGGAAAAAAAGAAGGGTGGAGGCTGATGAGACTGAGGAGAAAACATGTTTTTATAGAACTTTACACAGCATTATAATGTATGGGCCTTCATAAGCAAACAAAATTGTTATCAGGGTAAATATTATATTCAATAAAGATGACGTTGAGCTTCACGATTACAACTCTACACAGGAGGTAAAATTCTTAGCTCCATTGTGAAGATGAGGAAAGTAGGGCTAGCCCAAAGTCACACCCATAGGAAACACTAATGGCTGATTTCAAACCCTTTAGCCATTGGGTCAAAAATAGGAGACACATTACCATATCCCATTTATGTTATGGGCCTATACGCATCATTTAGACAGAATAGAAGGGCTGTGATGGCACAGATCAGGGAAGAAGTCTTTCCCTTATCGGGTCTCACCATTCCTGTTCTTTGATATTTTTCTTCTGAGCTTCTACCTTCCTCACCAGACTCTATATTCCTCAAGAGCAGAGACATCATTGTCACCATCGTATACTTCCAGCTCAGCATGTTTTCTCATGTTTGTGTGTGGATTCAACCTAGTTTCCCAAGGCAGAGATCCAGCAGGCCTCTCCCCTCTCTCTTACCTCCATACCTGAAGGTGCCAAGTGGCCTCTTTAGGCTCTCAGAGAGAGGGTTTCTCTCCATTCCTGTACTAGCCACCCGAGCACCTGCCTGTCTCTGGACTTGCCTCCTTCGTACCGGTTCCCTCCATCTAAAGTTGTACTTGTTCATGTAAGATTTCACTTGCTTCTCGGCTTCTCGACATTCAGAGGGTCCATTCCTACTCTGCTACCCCAGGCATCGTGATCCGAGGGTATGAAAGTTTCCATCGCACGTCCTGGCTTCACAGGGTGTGCAATTCTCGGTCAGGGACAGCCTCCCCCAACTGCACTGTGAGATTCTTGCTCACCCTTCAGGCTCCGTGGAGAGTAAAATACCAAGCAAATTCTTCCCAAGATGAGTCAACCTTGACCTCTTCCCCACCTGCCAGACTTTGCCCATGGCACTTTATGGGTGCTCTATCATCTTTTGGTGAAGCAACAGAGGGAAAGAACCAGCCATGAGTAGGTATTTTACTGTGCAACAGAAAGGAGCCTAATGAGTCAGGAGAGGGGAAAGGGAGCTGAGCATTAAAAATGAAGAGCCATGCATCAAAACTTGTACCTCGCTCCACGAAGAGGCGACCCACTCTAGCCTGTTGTTTTTGGGACATCGTCCTAGCACACATCCTTCTTGAACCTCAGGTCTGAGGCTGCTGGTGCACAGGCTCTCAGGGAGCGTCTCTGCAGCAGAGTTTTTGCACAGGAGCTCACGCCTCCTCACTCCTCGTCCACATGTCTTGGAACACTTAAAGACAAAAATGCCATTTACATGCTAATTTAGTTAACTATCATCTAGGTACATGCTGACACCATATTAGTGAAATGTTTACAAATTTTTTTTAAGTGTTTGAGCAAAATTCCCAGTAAAGGCAGCAGGAGAACTCCACCCATCTATGCTTAGCCTTCTCTTCAACCTCTGAATGGCCAGAACCTGGTGGGTAGCCCCAGCTATGAAGAGGAGTTGTGCTCATAATGGGGCAGAAGTCTTCTCAGTATCCATTGTAAAGAGTAGAGAAATGAGACACAGCCAGTCCACCGATCCCGGGTGCTTGGTTAAAAAGGATTACTGCGTCTCCAGCGAGGAGAATTATGGAGGCATCCTGACTGTGTGCAGTAGCAACTGATAGTCCTAGAAACAGACTCAAAGAATTCGATCTTATTGGGGAGAGGACATAAGCATACATCAAACATTTCTGAATAAAAGTGCATAATAAAAATCTCCACGATGAGCAATTTTATTCTTTCCTTTCACAAGAATTATGTGAAATAGACAAGGTAGCAAACACTTGCCTCCAGAGGAAAGTCACAACTTAACAAGGTCACTTAAAAGACTTTGGCATGGGTTTGTCCTTGAAGAATGTGTCACTCTCTTGGTCTTTCACAGTCTTGTTTTCCTTTCAGCAGGACCAAGTGAAATGTGGTCAATACCGGTATGAGCTAGAGCACAGCTCTATGTGTTCAGAAGACCCAAGGTAATTCTTACTCTTTGCCCTCTTAAGGGAAATGTCAATGATGTCATCAAGGAACAATTAATACCTTCCATGTGACATCAAGTACTACAGTCTGCATCTTACAACCCTCCACCATCCTCAGGAAATAAATGCTATCATTCCATTTCACAGAGGTATTTGAAAACCAAAGAACCTAGGCATTTTGACCAGTATCAATCACACCGCTGCAAAGTAACAGAGAGGAGCAGACAGTGATTCTGATGCCCAGTCGTGGGAATGAAGTGCTAAATGTATCATTACTGTTTCACATATAATTTCTGGATAGTTATTTGTTCAATTATGATTCCAGGAGTCACAGGTTGCGATAATATATTTTGAAGGCTCTCTTTCACATTCGTCACAAAAAATTTCTCAAAAAGACATCTGATTTTAGCAATCCACCCAAAATTTTTCTATGAAATTTGTCCTAAACTCAATGAACTGAAGCTCTTTCAGAAGGTTCCTTTGAAACATACCAGTCCTCACTTCCTTTGGTCTGTGCCCATCATACATATTTGGCTAAAACAGTCCTTCTAATTCTTTGCAATGGGGAATTATAATTCGCAAAGGAAGAGAACAGATTCAACATATTACTTCTATCTACCTACCCCGTGGTATAAATGAATATAGTATCTTATTTGACAGAACCCCTAGGCAGGCTCAAAGACATTTTTTCCCTCTCCTGGCCTCTTATTCCCCTAATTAATACTGGGATGGAGCAATGCTCTCCATACCCTCTAGAACAGAATGAACTTGAAAGTATGGCAGATGCTGCTGCCTAGCTTCCTCAGCCAGGTGATAAAACTACTATTTTGAGGTCCTTCTCCTGACTTTGCTGGCCATTGACAGTTTAGCAGAGGTTTGCTGATCTCCTGTGTGGGTTTTGGTGACCATGGGACTCTCCTATTCATTTACGGTTGCAGGGAGCTGACCTGTGCATTGCAGGATATTCACCTCTGTGCCCTGGATGCCGGTTGCCCCATCCCCCTCCACGTTGTGACAAAAAGTATCTCCCAGGGGCAAGCCCACCCCCAGCAGAGAACCTCGCTTTAGAGAGAATTTCTGAGTTGAGAATGACGGGTAGTCTTATGCCTCATCCAACTTTATTGGGAATTTGTGACACGTTCAAGCCCAATGCCCAGCTCTTCTCTGTATATATTTTTTGTAACTCCACCTCTTTGCCACTGAGACAAAAGTTGAATGTCCTTTCTCTGCATTTCTGTCTTTCCATTTGCTCTGGAGAATTCAGTAGTCAGGAATACATCCCAATCCCTTTCTAGGCTCACCACACTAATTTCTGAAGCACTAAGAAAGGGGGTCACAAGACTTGAGGTTGCAGAAGAATCACTAAAAACACGCTACAGTGCACATTCCCCAGCACCACCCAAGTCAACTTCCATGTGGCTCTTGTTCAATTGTAAACAGCTGAGAGACTCTTGGTGTGCAAAGACACCTGCAGTTTACCTGTGACCAGGGCCCAAGACTCCACTCTGGAGGACAGGGATGGCTGTTGCACACTTGAACCTGAGTGGGTGTGCTCACTGGGCAGAGGGAATGCACCACTGCCCCTTCCTTTTGGAAGGGCTTCTTCTGCACACACTGGATCTTTCGGCTCTGCTGGCCCCCAGCACACGACTTGCTGCACACGCTCCATTCACCTGGCATCCAGCTTTCAGAGAAAAACCAGATTACTTTCAATGTAGACATGATGCTATATTGTCACTTCTAAAGCAGTTACTGTGAAAGATTAACCCCCGAATGAAAGCTTTAGATCTATTTTATAATCAACCAGGGCAGGTCATACTAATCATTCTCTTTCAGAGTGGGAAGCAGATTTAGTCAGCACATAGTTCTAGGTTAACTGTATTACTGCCGTATGCATGGGAAGAAGTACATGCCATGTTAATATCTGAGCAGGCGATTCAGTCAGATTTACTGGGATCTGAACTGTGTGTCAGGAACTTTCCTAGGCAAGGGGGGGTTGCAAAATGAGGGAGGCTGCATTCTTTCCACGAAGAAGCCTTCAACACAGTGAAAGGGGGGTATGTAAACAATGATAGCCCTTCCTGGAAAGTGCCGCAATCTGGATAAACACAAAGAACAGTAAGGAGGCTCATGGAAGAGTGGTTGATGGGGCAGGTCTCTGCACAGGAGAGGGGCTACAGTCACAGGCGGCCTCACCAAGGACATTTCTAAGTGGACAGTTCCCCAACTACTTTTCTTGTCTTTAAATTCATTGATGGATTAGACACCAAACCTCATGTTATTTTTTTTTAAAGATTGCCAGACCATTTTTTTTCACAGCTACCTACAGTGAGGTATCTATTTGAATGCTATTCAGTGGAAACTGTTAAAACACTTTGTCTTTCTTATTATTGCTTATGTCTTCTCTTCAACAAAATTAGAGATAAGGGCAGAACAGGTTCTGCCTGGAAGCGAGGGGGAGCTGGAGGGGAGAGGGAGGGGACATGGGGTAGGGGGGGAGAAAGGGTCCAAAAATGTATGCACATGTGAATAAATGAATAAAAAATTTTTTAAAAACCTGCTTTTGGCTAATTGAAATTGCATGATTTAAAAGGATATGCCACATATGACTGTTACACATTTGAGTCACAGCAGCAATGTCTTTTTTTTTTTTTTTTTTCATTTTTCTTTTATTATTCATATGTGCATACAAGGCTTGGTTTATTTCTCCCCCCTGCCCCCACCCCCTCCCTTACCACCCACTCCACCCCCTCCCGCTCCCCCCTCAATACCAGCGAAACTATTTTGCCCTTATCTCTAATTTTGTTGTAGAGAGAGTATAAGCAATAATAGGAAGGATCAAGAGGTTTTGCTGGTTGAGATAAGGATAGCTATACAGGGCATTGACTCACATTGATTTCCTGTGCGTGGGTGTTACCTTCTAGGTTAATTCTTTTTAATCTAACCTTTTCTCTAGTTCCTGGTCCCCTTTTCCTATTGGCCTCAGTTGCTTTAAGGTATCTGCTTTAGTTTCTCTGCATTAAGGGCAACAAATGCTAGCTAGTTTTTTAGGTGTCTTACCTATCCTCATCCCTCCCTTGTGTGCTCTCGCTTTTATCATGTGCTCAAAGTCTAATTCCATTGTTGTGTTTGCCCTTGATCTAATGTCCACATATGAGGGAGAACATACGATTTTTGGTCTTTTGAGCCAGGCTTATGTCTTAAAATTAAAGCCAAGCAATGTCTTAAAATTGATCTTGGATTACAAATATTCTAGATATCATTTTGGAAAATAAAGCCAAACCAGTAAGACTAAAAATGTTTTTGTTAAACCTTTGCAATTCCGTTACCTTCCCTACCCTTACACTTTTTTTCTTTAATTTTCCCCCCACAAGCCTGACATGTAAAACTTAAAACTTTTAGTTCAGAGAATTGAGCTCTTGGGTTCTAGGATTATGTGTGCTCTTAAAAGCACTACACAATCCATACTATTCTATTTAGTCAAAGGAAAATGATAACAGAATAATTTCTCATATTTATAGAATTATTTGTGTCATAATAAGATATAAAGAAAACATTATGAAGTTATAGTTTCAATATTTGCCTGTACAATGATCTTTTTCTAGCAAATTCAAGTTTCTTCACATGACAAACATGGTGAGTCTGTACGTGTCTTAAAAGGATGATGCACAGTCTTCTGCATTGGAATCCCAGGCTAATTTTCCACCTAGCCTCAACCCATCCACACCTGTTCAGAGCCTGGACCCCACGCTGTCCGTTTCATCCCTTACTGCTTTTTCATATATAATATTTAAAGTATATTGATCAGCATCTCAATTATTTGTACACAAATTCATCACTTCCACTTGACTGTGGCTCATTGATGGCAGGAACCACATGCTATTCACCTCCAAAGCTCCAGGTATCAGCTAGTTCTTAGGCATGGTTATTACATATGAAAGTAACAGCTCAGAGAAGTTCCTTTTTCTTTATAGTTTTAGCAGTCTATGAAGCTGGAGATACCTTTCTAGTTTATCCCAGGGGAAGAACAGTCCATGGAAGGTCCCATTATTCTAGGAGAAAATACTGACACATAAGTAATTAGGGTAGAGAAAAAAGGAAGGGGACAGAAGAACCTGCCCATGTCACCACCATTCCTCTGCACTGCCTGCAAGGGGCTGATCTGCTTCAAATACCACATTTGGTCTTCACAGAATAATATCATTTCTACATGAACTCATCACGGGCGTTCTAGGTGTTGAACATGACCTTGGTATGCTCCCTTACATGGATGTACACATAAGTGAACCACCTCCTTTGGGTGGCTGGAATAACCAATGATGGGAAGGAATCTTAAAGTGAGAATCTACCAGCTTGACAATCAAGTATATGCTAATTATCCCTACACATGCTCATAACACACACACACACGCAAGCATACCATCCCTACTACCACCTAAAGAGAATGGTCCACAGGGTCAAGAATACTTTTGATTAAACACGTCTTAAAGCTGACAGGATATTTCTTAACAAAAGAATAAAATCCACAGATTCCCCACTCTTCATTTCTCCTCTTTGTGTTCATGATACAGCTGGTTCCAGAGGCTAAGAGAAAAACTGGGTTGACAATTGGGCATAAGGGAGTGCTTGAAACCCCAAGCAATTACAGCAAATGCATTTTTAGTTACAAGAAAAAGTGTGTGTGCGTGATTGTGTAATATGACTGCCTTGCCACAAACTGAAAGCTTCTTAAGATGATCTGAAACATTGGCAAATGTGCCCCTGCTTTAGAAGAAACTGTCCATTTATATAAATACATTTGGCAGAAGATAAATCACATAAGAAAAGAACCAGTTGGCTGGGAAAATTATCTAATATTAGTGTTCAAACAATGATGTGGGTAAACCCAATCCAAGAACAAACCCACTGAGCTCCCCATAGGGACCATCATCAGTGGGGAGCCACCACTTGGCTTTTACCTCTTGTTATTTTGCCTCTTGCTACTGTGTAATTTGCACTGGGGTTTCATGGTCTACATAATATGATTCTTAAATTCTTGGATGACTTATATAAAAGTTAAACATACAATCACATGTGAATTTACCTAATATAGGATCATGTGCTATTTAAATATCTGTTTGATTCAGTTCTGGGAAGAGGAGTCTGCATTCAGAAGTTAAAAAAAACAAAACAGGAAGACCAGGCATGGTGATTCACACCTGTAATCCCAGGTACTCAAGGTGGAGATTAGGAGAATCATGAAAGCTAGCCAAGGCAAAAACAAAAGTTAGTAAGACCCAATGTCAACAAATGAGCTGGGACTGGTGGCTCATTACTATAATCCCAGCTACACAAGAGGCACAGGTAAGAGGATCATAGTCTGAGGTTATTCTCTGGCAAAACTGCAAGACTATATCCAAACAAATAACTAAAGCAAGAAAAGAGAGCAGGAGACAAGGCTGAAGTGGTAGAGAGAGCATCTACCTAACAAGTCTGGGTTCTGCCTAGAGGCCCTGGGTTCAAACTCCAGTGCTACCAAATTAATAAAACAGAGATACCACTATATTCCCTAGCCAAAGTGAGGGTCTAATAAAATTCATATTTTTAGGTCACATAATTGAACTCAGAACATTTTTTTTTCTTTTAGGAATTGCATCTACTTTTAAATCACTACTAATCAGAAATACTGACAGTGGGATTCTCTTATGTCACCCAATAGCAAAGGTATTCAAGTTCAAATACAAACAGAAAGCCATTTCCAGGTGACTTACTAAGCTGGGCAGGAGAAAGCATTGCATGTTTTGGGTTCCGTTGTTGGCTTGGTTCTTAGGTTGCAGAATGAAGAATTGACTTGAGTGTTTTGGTCTCGTAAGCAAATGGCCTTTATGCTTATGTAACCTGATAAGACAGCAGAAGAGGCAAAGTAAAAATTACAGATAATCATCCAGTTTTGTTTCCAGGTTTAGTTTGGGATTTACCAGCATTCTGGAATCCAAATGTTTTGTGGGAATACTTCCTTTGGATTCAAATGCAACTAATTTGAATTCCATATATCTCTAGGATAATAGATTTGTATTTTTAATAACTTTAATATACGTAGATTCTTAGTTTTCCATGTAGATTCTAGTACCATAAAGTGATAAATACAACTTTTTGAAAACAGGGTGACTAACAGAAAGCCCCTCTGCAAGCTTTAACTCATTTTGCACATGTTAAGAGAAAATGTTCTGCATAGAAAACCACTAGTGAATTATATATGGAAATTCCAAGATTCCACTTTGCCATGAAGCATGCCATACTTCCATAAGAGAGGGGTGCACATAGAGGCAACCAGCTGACACCCCTGAATAAGATCCGTACCTACCAGCTGGGACTTGGTTTAATTTATTTGTTTGTTTGTGTGGCATCCCACTGCCTGGTTTTCAGCATTCATTTCAGGAATTCCTATCAGAGGCATGGACCTTTTTTTGTGAATAACTATTTTTTACCTCTTCAAGTAGGAAATGCTGCCTTCTCTTTGAATGGTGTTTGATTTTATTTACATGGCACCTCTCCTTACAAGGATTCTGAGAAATGATAAAAAAAAAATCACTCCTGCAATAATGATTAGCAGTGAGTCCAACTCCACAGGTTCAAGTAGGTTTGCTTTCAGGAGACACAGATCAAAACCACTGAGATTCCCCAAAGTTAACGGCTTATTTCCATAGAACTTATTCACATGCACTCAGGATACTCGGTGGCTGTAAGTGGAGGGAAGAGGTTTCTAGGTCAAGACAAGGGGGATGGGATTCCACAGCATACCCGTCCTGCCTCCTTGTTTTGTCTAGTTTACTACCTGCAAATGGAAAATGCATCAAATCTTTCTCTTTCCCTAGGCACGGCACTCTCCCTAGAATAACAAGAAGCGACTGGAAATGTTCTGAAAGCACATTTGATATTTGAGAAACCACTCACATCCTGAGACTAAGCCAAAACGAGCTGCGTGTGAAGCTCCGTAGCACGGTGTCTGTAAAAGACACAAAGTGATAGTCATGGCGTGCGTCTGAGACTGTCAAACACTCGGGTGTTTATACAGTCATAGAAAAGAACAGAACGACACAGACCAAAGTGTTAACATTGGCTACTGTTAATTAAGGAATTATGGGAGGGGAGTTATTCTTCTTTACAGAATATTGCCTTTAAAATATTTATTAATAAAAATGTATGATCTTTTAATTATTATATGTGTGTGTGTTTGAAAAGTATTTCCTTGTTTTGTTAATTACCATAGACTCCTGAAGATAGGCCTTACAGACATAAGAATTTCACTGCTCTATCTTGGCTCTGGTCCTGATTCTAAAAGGCCTCATTTTGCTCAGTAAGATGGGCTCAGTAGGAAAACCTAAGTTACCAGGTATCTAAACAATAGGAAGTAGGTGGCTAATCTTCAAGTTTTGGTTATAGGAACCTATTTATGAGTTTTCATCCTCTCAAAGGGACAAGTGTCACGATGATTGACTTATCTAAAAACATGTGATATTTCTAACATCTAAGTAAAATGCCTGCCTTCTAGTCACTAAGTGGATGGTGGCCGTCCTTTCTTCAAAAGGTTAGCTTTCAGATTTAACTCATTTCACTACAGAGGAGACTGCAGACCCTACCCCTGAGGGGAGTTATGGCACAATCTCCATCTTTCAGATTAACATCTTAAATTTGCTTGCTATGTGTTCTCTCATCTTCACCCTACTTTCTGTATGTTCCAGTGGAAGGTTTAAAACATAGAAAAGTAAGCATTGGAAGAAACTGGACCACAATCTGAAAGTTAACTGTCTGTCTTCCTACATGTACATAGAGAGATATAACATATGGCATGAACTCTCATAGAGAGAACTTATATTCTTGTCAGTGTAGTTTATGTTTCTCCCATAAGTCTCAGGAGTGTAACTTTTGAGCCTTGGCTGTAGTTGAATTAAGCACTGAGAGAACTGCTTCCTTTCATACTCAAACGGTGCAATCATTTCTTTCTACAGTTAAGGTCTCTATGAAAGGCAGTTCTCTTGTGTCTTCTTTGAGCCACACACTGCTAAAGATACCTGGAATGGAAGAACCTGTTTTAAAAAGAGAGACTTGGAAGATGAATTGGGAAGTCACCTACCTCCACCACAGGAGACGGAGCAGTCCGACTGCACTGTGGTCCAGGCATGGTGGTGTCTTTTTGTGGCTGGCTGAGTTCCATTCATGACTTTGGGAAGTGCATACTTCCAAGCTATCCCTGGATTTTTGCCTTGCATCAGAATCTGGACAGTGTGAGATAAGAATTAGAGATTACGATACAGGTCAGACTCTGGAATTCCAGAAATCTGGCTATACGTTTCAAAGATATTTTCATGTCATCTTGATCTTAAAGTCAGTTTACTTCACTGTTCCCATGTCTGTTTTGTGTTGATTTAAAGTCTTCCTGTGACACTTTAGAGTGTTTATCTTCATAGGATCAAAACTATGGTTTAGATAGATGCTAAAGAAAAAAAATATATAATTTGAGATTCACCATAAGCATATAATTCTCAACTCTGGGTATAGCCATCAATAAAGCAAATATTGAAATTAAAGTGAAGGAATGTTCTATTGCTGGCTCTGAACCTAAACTTGAATTTGAAAGCCTAACATGGTCGCTCTCTCTCTCTCTCTCTCTCTCTTTCTCTCACTCACACACACACACACACACACACACACACACAGCAGTGCCAAAGCTCATAGTTGAAACAGAGTCTGTTCATATCTAGTCTTATGGTATATCCTGGGCCACAACTTGTAAGCTCTCTAAGTGTGAGTAGAATCTGAGCACACAAGAAGGTACCCCCAAAGCATAGTCATCAACTCTACGATCCACACAGGTTTTCAATACAATTTCCCCAGAAAATTTGCCAACAGGCAATGTGTCTATTAACTTGCCTAGGTGGGCAAATAAGAGAAAGAAATGTAGTTGGAATCAGGGCTTGGCAATATATATATATGTATTAGGATGGATTTTACCTTGAAAAGGTCAGGACTCTAGATAAATCTAATCTTGTAAGATTGAACTCCTGGGATAGCAGTGAGCATTTACTGGGCATGTCCCCAGTGTCAGAATTCTGCTGGGCCTTTTCTGTGCCTTACCTGAAAACATTCCTGCAACAACTCTCTATGACAGCTGCCTATTCATTGAAAAAAATGAGGAGGTGTGTGAGATCACACAAGTAACCAGGAAATGAGTTTAAAGAAAACCTCTAACAAATGTGCTTAGACAACGCACTATGCCACCTTGTTTTAGACGTGGGTAAACCACCCTTCTGGATGCTCTCTTAACTATTAAAAAAAAAAACTTTCAAGCCCAAAGCATGACTATAAATAACTGGTTTTCTCCCACTCCATGAGTCTTCTGGAAAATTTTTCACCACCAGAACTGGGCACTCATTGCCAGTTAAAAATAGGAACCCCTGGCTCCATCTCTGTCTGGTGGGATCCCACCTCAATTAAAGTTGGGTAGGTGGCAGCTGTTCAAGGACCTCCACTGTACCAGACTACTTTTTAGGATGGCTTTACCCTTTGTTATTAGCTTAAATGTCTCCATGAATATTACATCTAACTCTTAATTATTTATATTTGCAGTACTGGGGTTTGAACTCAGGGCCTTGTGCTTGCTAAGGCAGGCACTCTAGCACTTGAGACCTTAGGGCCCCCCCCCTTTTTTTTTTGTCAACCCTATCTGGAAAACCCTATCTGGGACCAACCTTGGACTGTGATCCTCCTACCTATGCTTCTCACATAGTTAGGATTACAGAAATGAGCGACAGTGAAAGGCTTGTTGATTGAGATGGAATTTAGCAAACTTTTTGGCCTCAAACTACAGTCCTACTGATCTCTGCCTCCCCAGTAGCTGAGATTACAAATGTGCATCCCTGCACCTGGCTACACCTAACTCTTAAGATTCCATGATAGGGACATCATTTTGCAGTGCAACAAACATTTCATGATTCCCCAAACCAACAAAAATGTAAACAGATGTATCTGTGTTCTCCCTACATCCTCCAAAGCTAAACCAAAACACAAACCCAACATGCAGAACTACTAAAATGAACAAATATCTAATTCTCATCAGTTGCCAATGAAAACCTTTTCAGAATCAAAATCCTAGGGGTCTTAAATTTGAGGATCTTTCTGGCCTTTGCTTTTCCTATTTTTTCAGCTAAGCCACATGGCTGTTCTTGGAATCACATGTTCGGTTGAACATAACATTCACATATTTTGAATAAATATTGTGCTGTTCTTTTTGCCACTTCTGCAGTCCTTCACTTAACTTTTTCATGTGGTATTAAGTTTTCTTCACGATCAAACCGGAATGGTGAGAAGGGTTTTGCATTCAGAAGATAATCTGATGCTTATTGATAGTTTAACTTAATTTTTTCTACTGATTAAGCAATATCTTAAATTAACACTTTTGGTGAGCATTTTCTCTGTGCAACAGAAACACAGAGATTTTGTAGAAAAGAATGCAGAGTGCCACATTTACATGTGTGTTATAAAGATGGGTGAAATGCTTAGGAGTTATAGTGAGGGAAGGCCTTTGGGGCAGGATGACGTCACACTACAGGGCAGTCACTTCACACGTGTACACAACCGTAGCAAAGTCAGGTGCAAGTGCTATACAGAAAGAAATTTATTTGCTTATCTCCACTTTCCAGCAGTAGCCCATTCTCCCTATTCTAACTAAATCCTACTTTCCACGGTATAGGGGAGTGGATCTTCAACAAAAATGCAAAGAAAATTTAAGAGAATGTTAGTTCTTGCCTATTAAGCTTCAAAGACTTATGTTCTGGTGACTTAAGAGTGGCTGAACAAATTCTCAATGGTCAGTCACACTACGTTCTATTTCACTTTCTAGATATGCTGAGAGCCTAAGCCATACATGGCTCATGGTTTCACTGCAAAGCATTTAAAAATATAGCTGTGAAGAGCAAGACACATTAAAAGAAGTATTAGAGTGAAGATAAAAGTGTCCTCACTACTAATAAAAAACAATCAAGGTATCAGTTTTCCCCCATCCTCCACTCAAGCCAACCATAAAAGATTATCAATGCTATCAACAGGAAGAGACTTGCTCCCTATGCCATTGTCAAAGCTGCCTCCACATCTGGTATCCATAGACTCCGCCTCTTCCATTTCCAGGATGTCCCACTCTGGCTTCTGTCTAAAACCTGTCCCTCATTATGTGCTGGATTCCATATTCCCTCACCTCCTTCAGGATCCCACTACTAACATTGCCCCCTGTCTCCTGAGCCTTACTCAGATTTCCCTGTTTTATTTAATTGACCATTTCCATCAGCATCAAAACATATCTCTCATCTTAAGAACAAAAGTTATCTTGATTCTATATATCCCTCTAACTCATGCCCCATTTCTCTCTTGTCCTTCATAACAAAAAATCCCCAAAGAGCTTCTCTTACTCTTCGTTTCTGTGTTTCCTCATTGGTCCATTACCCATGTCAACCAGCTGCTGCTCCCCACCAAGGTGCTCTTCACCTTGTCAAACACAGTTAGTAGAGGGTCGTCTTCTTCAACCAGTCACCAGCACTGGCTATAGCTGCTCACTTCCTCTATTTGACATCAGAACTCCTCTGTTTCTTGTCCAGTGTAACTGACCCTCATTCCTATCTCTTTTGCTGAATCCCCATTTCCTATCTATTCAATGTCAAAGTGACCTCAAACCTAAATAACTTAAACTGAACCACGTGTGGCTAACAGCTACTAGTCTCTAATCACCACATTCACTTATTCAGTTGCCTACTCGACATCAGTACTTGAATGTTAAAAAGGCATATTCAAGCCCAATATTAAACTTGTCATGTTCTTCCCTGTGCCCAGAAAGGCTTTTCCTCCTTCCTTCAGCCTTCTCCACACATGAAATGACAGCCCATCCTTCTCATTGTCCAGGCCAAGCCAGAATGTTGGCGCTGCCCTGGATTCTTCTCTTTCTCTCACAATCACATTTAGTAGGCCAGGAAATGGGGTATCTTTTTAGTATATCGCGTATCTTATTACCTCTTTGTTTCTGCCACTGCCCTGACCTGTGCTACTGTCATCTCTCTTCTGACTTCCATGGCAAGGGCACTGAAGACAGCACTCTAGGGAGGACAGAAGTGATATCCTCCAGGGGAGAAGACAACACAGGTCCACGTGTAAAAATAATTCAGTGACAGTTACTTCATAGGTTAAAAATCAAATGCTGTAGAGCCTGGCAGGGGAAATCAAATCCTTCTATGAAAGGGGGAAAAAAAAGTATCACATGACTATCTAAAAATCATAGGACCACCTTAAACAGTTTAGTAGCTATCATTTAATTGACAAAATGTTGTTTCATTTTTTGAGATAGAGTCTCACTGCATAGCTCAGGCTGGCCTCATACTCATGATTTTCCTGCCTCAGTCTCCCCAGTACTGGGATTATGGGTGTGTGATACTATACCTAGCTTGACTAACGAAGTATCTTGATGGTGACCTGAGCTAAGAACCCAAACCAACAAAAACGTGCTACATTTTCTTTGAGGCCTTCTAGTCCCCTCCCTCTCCCCATAATTAGAATGAGATGATGAAATCCTGAGAAAGTGAAATACTTGAGCTAAAAGAACAGCACTGAATGAAATATTTAGAAGCAATAGCTTCTAACAGTTCTAATAGTTTCTAATATGAAACTAACCTATTTCATATTATCAAGGTCACAAGAAATTTATGTTATTGAGCCAAAGCAAGAAGAGAAAGAATTCACTTTACTGTAAATGTTCACAGGAACATGTAATATTAAATTAGTAACTCACAAAGGCCAGAGTAGCTGGATATGCATATGGGTGTATGTCTGTGCTCTCTTACAGTTTTGTTGCTGCTGTTTGGTGGTACTGGGGTTTGAACTTGGGGCCTTGTGCTTGCCATGCAGGTACTCTACCACTTGAGCCACTCCCCAGTCCTCTATTACAGTTTTACCGATAGTGTTGTGTACAGCATATTGTTTATGTTCATTTGTTGAACAAATTGATGCATTCAGTGAATGCATAAATGAATAAAGGCACCCCAACTTTATAAAGCCAAATGCCCAGATGCTTGGCTTTAATGTTTCTGTAGCTATCAATCCACATGCAGAGTTCTGTGATCCTGTAGTCTGAAAGACATCTGTATAAACCAGTAGCAAGCTGAGTTGAGAATTTATTTTGCCAGGTGCAAGTGGCTTACACCTGTAACCTAGCTACAATGGGTACGGATAGGGAAGA